AGTTTAGTTTTCTGAGCCAGTACGTCCTATGTCAGTCAATGGCTTCGCTCGCGTCAAGACTGGAATCTAGGGTCCAGGACGGGCGTGGCAACTTTGGCTGACTTAATCTGATTGGGCAGGAATACAGTCTACTACCCATGGGTGGATCCTCCATCTCCGTGCTGAGAAAAGGCGTTCAGGTAAGACAACGCCCCTTTTACGGCAGGTGCTTGTCTGTTTGAACTCTGTGTACTGGCCATGTCATTTGCCTTGCTATGTCTCCTTTCTATTCTTCACTTGATCTTTCTTATAGGTCACTTTATCCTCTTCGATATTCAGTAAGCCTTCAGGGTGATGTAGCTCTGGTGTATCTTCTTCCCTGTCCTTCAGATATTCTTTCAATGATGTTTTTCACGGTGGTTGTTGTTTGTCCAGTCAGCCAGATATTTAGACTGAATTTGGCATTTTTATCCACTTATTGAGTCCTTTTCCAGAACCTGGAATGATGACGATGATGATTAATTTATGTACACTTAATATCGCTGCCCATTCTTATAGACTCTGGGTGGCTTACAACTATGAAAGAATCAAACTCTAAAAATATACAACTCCATAGACTGAAACAACTAAACAATAATACATCAAACCAAACCAGGTTCCCCACTGCAGTCCTGAAATCAAAGCCAGGTCTTAAGAACCCTAGGAGAAAGAGTAACTGTCTGTATTTCTTGAGGGATTGCTTGGCAGGCAGAAATAGTTGCCAATAGGTAATCTCTTGGTATCTAGCACCCATGCCATAAAGGGCTTTATAGGTAATGACCAACACTTTGAACTGAACCTGGAAGCCTACTGACAACAAATTCAGCTTATGTAGTATTAGTGGCACATATATTGGGACATACAGTGGCATACCATATTTGGAGATGATTTAAAGCTGGATATCATCAATGCATTGTTGAATGCTGAATTGATAGTTTAATGTAACAATTAAACAGGAGAGGGGAGAGTGTCAAACTGTGAGACATTCCACCATAAGGGGCTGTGGATATGATCTCTTTCTCTGCCCATCAGTACCATTAAAACTGACCTGTAGCTGATTCAGAAGGATAATATGCTTGATAATATCAAAGGTTGTCTCCATACTACTGTATATCTCAGTCTGAAAACTGTCTGAATTGAGTCCAGATCATTTGTTTCTGTCAAGATCCTCTGTAACTTGTTGTTTGACCATGAAGGAAAAGTTGAAAAGTAGATGATAATTTTTCAGACTGGAGAATCCAGTGATGTCTCTTGAATATGGGCTGTATTACTGTCTCCTTCAAAGCAGGCAGATCTAGTCCCTCTCTCAGAGACAGATACCACTGCATGGACTCTTCCCTTGGCCACCTCCCAGGCAGTGGTGGGATTCAAATATGTAAACAACCGGTTCTCTGTGTCAATGCTGCTTCTGGAAGTCCATTCTGGGCCTGGGCAACAAAAAATTAGCTACCGGTTCTGCCGAAGTGGTGTGAACTGGCTGAATCCCACCACTGCATTAGAGATTTGGTTCCATATCAAATATGAGTGGACTAGTTTTAGTAGACATTAAAATATAAAAATTCTGTCACAGCTAAAACTTCAGTGGATTTGGTAATTTTTTTTAATAATAATGTTTAATAAAAGTGTTAGTTGTAACAGGAAAAGATAATGCAAACTAAAAAAGACAAATGAAAAAGGTGGAAAAAGAAAAGAAAAAAACCTCTAAGAAAGCAACTTCCCATCCTCATCACGACAAGTATAAACAATTTTATAATCTCTCCACCTTTTTTTAATTACCAAATATAAATCTCTTCATCCCATAACTCATCTCTTAACTTTAGGCAAATCTAATAAGTAATATCTTCTGCAATCCAGGTGCAGCAAAAAAGTCCAAACAGAACCTAAAATAACATTAATTAACATATATGAAACTCAATATTCTACATCTCAATTTTTAGCTGTAAAAGGCTAAAAGGCATAAAGTGGTCCCAAAAACCTGATGTTTAACATGACAAAGAGGGACCATTTCCCCTTTATAAAACAAACAAACAAACAAACAAACAAACTCACGAATATCCTTTATTTCTGGAGTAACTTTAGGGAAAAAAGCTTAAACACCATGTTAACTTAAACAAACCCAATATAGAATCCATTCAGTTCCAAATGCCAACAGTTCCAAAGAGAACCACCCCAAATAACAACATATCCCACTCCCATTAGTCCAACAATCAAGAAGCAAGTAATACGCCAATTAAGGGACTGTCAAACAAGCTAAGAATAAACAACACCCAAGTCAAGGAATCATCAAGACCACTTCTACCAATATTGACAGGGAAAGCAGTAGTAAAGTAAGAGCAGACTCCATTGCTAACATCAATGATGTTACCTAGTTTAGTAATGAAACATCTGCCAGAAAACTACCAAGCTCAGAGAGTACCAAGGAACCCACATATCCCATTCAAATAAACATTCCATATTTCAACTCTTAATGATAAAGAAATCCACATTTAGCAAAATATAAAGTAACCCCAATTCTCCTTTAATGAGATGCTTGTTTGCTTCTTCCAAAGAAGGAGAAAATGTGCCACTTGAAGTTTGTTATGGACATTGTCTTTTCATAGTTGATCATTTAAAACATCAGAGAGGAGCTTCTAAATAATTTACAACCTGTCTTTTCCATTTCACTCAAGCAGCTGTTTTCTGAAGAGGGGACATGCCCTCTCACACGCCACCTGGATATGATTTACTCTTTATTAGTCTAGCGAAATGTGACAGGCTCACCCAATCTTTCCAAAAGTATTATTTCCAAGAGTGTTTTACCGCTTCTCTGCAAATAAGATAAAATAAACTATATTGACAGTAAGACTTACTCAAATATATTCTCAGAGACCGTATTGTAATTCATTGCCCTCCAGAGCACTTTGTTTTTGAAGACTAATAAAAAGACTGTTAAATAAAGGCATGTCTGTTAACATGTCAAACATGAAGTTACTATGTGGTGATGAGCTCCTATTGTGGTTACACTGAATCAATGAGACTTGAACCAACCAAGACCTATTCAAACATTTATTCCTTGTCCAATGTAGTATTTATGGCTTGTTCCAAATACTACAAACATATATATTTGACATAAGGCCTGATTCAGAAATTAGTTTGCCACCAAGTACTTTGACTCCACTCTCTCCCTACAGCTACAGAAATTGCTTTAAAATAATAATGCAAGAATGTTGAAATCATGATGATCCATATCAACTCATATCTATTAGGATATTAATTTATTGGTAGTTCTAATTCTGAAGATTAAAATTGCCTGAAAATTAATTATAGTGTGCAGCATGAAAGCTAAATAACTAAAAGTTTTAAAGCAAACTAAATTACTAAAAGTTTTAAAGCAAAGTAGATGATAGTAATCGGGAATGTTATTTCATCATTTTTATTGCCACAGGATATTAGCATTATGCTTAATATAAAAAAGGAAATCAATATAATGTCTCATAAAGGGACCTTCATACTAGCCTTTTAACAGGATATTACTTTTCTGATAAATTTTGTAGATACATTTCTTATTAAAATGATGAGTACAAAGCCGATAGCTTTTGATTAGTGAAAGGTCTTGATTATCCTGAAACCAAAAGTATAATTATAGGTTGTACGGTAATTTCTAATGTCTAGTCAAATTTTGTGGAAATTAAATCTATCTAATTTTCCCTGGCTATTAAAACAATTATTCTTGTTTTCTTGTATTTATAATTTCAGTCTTTGCCAAGCTAGCCACCTCCAAATTTGTGGAACCATCTCTAGTCAAAATCTCTGAGATTATGAAATACATTGTTTGATACATTTGGAAACATTGGATTTTTCTGTGAAACCAATATGGAAATATGTCTTCTATGGCAGATTGGCCTCATGGGAATATATCCTACTCTTTCAAGCACTTTGTTCTGTGAATAAGAAAAAGATTAGATGTCAACTTCAAAGAGTACAGTATTATATTTTCTATACTCACTGAACTACAGGGCACTCAGTATTTCAGTGTTTTGGAATTTTGAATCAATGTGTGTCAGTACAGTACAGTAGACTTTCTCTAAGCAACACATGAATGTCCTCATTTTAGACAATTATTTTTTAACCTAAAAATGCTAGAAACAGAAATGTTAGAAAAATCTCTCAGTTGCAGCAGATTAAAAAAGAATGAACGAATGAACATGTTTATAGATTTACTGAATATGCTGATGACAATAATTCATATATTTCTTAATCCAAAGTACTCTATGGTCAAAAATTCATATACCTCTCTTAATGCAGAGTACTCTGTGGTCAAATGTTTATTAATTTAAAAAGATCTCTGCACTGTAGTATTCTGCATTATTAGTATATTTGACATATTTGGAAGTTCTGTTCAATTTTTTCTTCTTCTATTCAGTCATGTCCGATTCCTGGAGACTACCTGGACAAGTCCCTGCATTTTTCTTGGCAAGGTTTTTCAGAAGTGGTTTGCCATTGCCTCCTTCCTAGAGCTGAAAGAAAGTGACTAGCACAAGATCACCCAGCTGACTTTGTGCTTAAGATGGGACTAGAACTCAGTCTCCTGGTTCCTACCTTTATGCCTTAACCACTACAACAAACCAGCTCTCTTGTTCAAACTATCTCATTGCATCATGTATTGAAATGTATTTTTAAAAATTATATAAATGAATGTTATTTTCTGATGATATTCTGGTTACTCATTGAGAATAGTTTAGCAGAAATCAGTACTGCTTCCTGCTGATCCTAAAATAAATTATTGGTTATTTTATATTTTTAGAAAATGTGTATATATATATTTTTCAGGTTTGGGATGCTGTGGATGAAGGACGTTGTTTGAAATCATACTTTAACCATACCGGTGCTGTCCGAGCTATTCAGTGGTCTCCCTGTGGAAGAAATGCACTGAGTGGAGGATTTGATTTTATGCTTCATTTAACAGATATTGAAACAGGTACTAATACCCTTAAGTAGTCAACACTACAACGTGGTTAATATATATAAAAAATACCTTTATAGTATTTGGGGGTTGGAAACAGAATGCCATCGTCTTACTAACTGAAATATCCTGCTAATTTAAAAAAAATACAATTTTGGTTAGGTATTTTGAGAAGTTGTCTTCTTTAGGCTAAATTATTGTTAAAATCTTTGATTTCCATGGGCAGGGACTTTTTGATGTGAATAAGCATTCTGTTATGTGAAACTGTTTTATACATTGTAGCTGCAACATGTTTAAGAAGTTCTGATTCTGGTTTAAAGGTAAGAGGTTACAATGTTGAGTCCTACAGTCAGCTTTTCCTTTCCTCTGGGAAAACCACAAAACTGCTGGCTGCTCTGCATAATGATGTAGCAGTGTTTTTCAACTTTGGCAACCTTAAGATGGGTGGACTTCTTCTACCTCACATCTTAATATTGTCAAGGTTGAAAAACGCCGTGGTAGAGACTTGTAGAGGTGATGGGAGAAACAAAGGAACTCCAGAGTCAAGTTAGTTATACAAAGGAACAAGAAGTGCAGCGATACACAAGTGAGACTGAATGTGGTTAGGGAATAAAACACCAAAGTAACAAAGAGGAAAAATGTAACAATATTTGAAATACAAAGACATAAAGAATGAAGAATAAATTAAATATAGGTAGTCCTTGACTTACATCCAAAGATGAAATGAGAGAAGCAGAGGAATCAAGATGTACAATATATCAGTGGCAAGAAAGCCATGATAAAGCAGTATGCAGTGATTGGAAGGCAGGGGAGATAGAAGGAGAAGATTGGAGGATTTGGGGCCTGTAAGGCAGAATATAGCTCACACCAGATACCCCATTGGGCTGTTCCACAATATCTTGCTTAACCATATTGTGGTTAAGCAAGATATTAATACACAGACATTATCTCTATCATAATTTTCATTCTGTGTAAAACTCTTGAAGAACCTGAGAAAGAACCTTTGGCCCAGATGTTGAGAGCAAGCAAGAAAATTAGATTTTGTGCTTCTTGTAACAAGTTCTCCTTTTAAATTCCACAAAGTGTTGTCCTTGAAGTGCTAGCTTTCAAAAGCATGTTACATTTTTTTTCTTGGTGTTTGACCAACCTTTATAAAGATGTGCTGATACATGTTGGAGGATTCCTCAATATTTAATTACTACACCTGTGTGTATGTTTATAGGTGAGCATGAATACACACAACATAAATTAGTTTACTCTGAGAATCCCCATTCTCCTTTTCTTCTTTATCATTAATGTGCATTTCTCACAAAGATGTCACTAATACTTTCAGCAAAAAACAGCTTGGTACCAGAAATCAAACTGGGTGCATTCTCACTTGAAAAATATGAAGCCAGCTGTTCAAATTAGAACTTAATTACAGTTCATTCACCTGTCTTCATTACTCTCCATCAGCACAGAGCTTATTTCATTACTGATTAATTTCATTTAGATATATTCTAGTCCAAGTTTGTGATTTTTTTTTTTAGAAAAACGTTTTCATACAGGTTAAGAGAAACTTTTTGAAAACAGGCTTGGAAGAAATGTGACCTGATTTCCTTGTTGTAATTATTTAGGTAAATTGGGGTAAATTACAAGTTTGTAAACTTTATCACTCCCCCCCTCTGCTTTTTAAGGGCAGTTTTCTCTAACCTGGCACTATATAGAAATGCAGGTTGGCAATTTTGAAAGTGCAACACCTCTGGAGATAACTGGTTGGAAAGGCTGACTTATGACCCTGTGTTATATGGAAGGTATAGCAGCACAATTTTTCTATGCTTTGGGGAATTTATGAAGTTCCCGGTCAAGTAGTGAGAATCTTTGTTCCTTTAATTACTTAAGTGTAATTACTTAATTTTCAAGGGGCTATAATCAATCTCTGTTACTTCTTAGATCTTTTAATATTTTCCCAGTAGTTTGGAAATGAGTACCTGCCATGCTTAAAACAGAAATATGATTCTCCAGTACAGGAGACGGAGACTCCACCAATGGGTTTTCTTTGTCTGCCTGCTCTTGAGACCAAGTATCCAAAACTTGTCACGCCCCCTCCTACTGGTAATCCAGTCTTAACTTGGTCTCCGCTCTTGATGACTCGTTTTGGCTTGGCTCTCAGCTAGATCAGGTTAGACAATTAATAATCCATTGGTGAAGTCTCCCTCAAACATTGGCTATCTCTAAAAAATTCAATTCTTAACTCAGGGATTAATGCAACTTCCCTCGGGCTGATAGCAGCTTGTGGGAAGTGAGGGGTGAAGGGGGGGTGGAATTTCCCTTCCTTCGTCTCTCCCAAATCTCAAAGTAAAGTGGGGGGGGAGGTAGAAGGACAACAGAGACAACTTGTTGACCCTCTCCTCCACCTGCCCAGAGTTCTCCCTCAGGGCACAGCAAAGGCCCTGGCTTCTCTCAGGCCTTCTCAGGCCTGTTGGGGGCCCGTTTAGCCGCCCGAAAAGTTGCGGCCGCCATTTTGGATGCAATTTCGGCGGCACAATCCTTTAGAAAAAACTCAGAAATCTTGCTATTTTCTCTTCAGGCTGCCTTTAGAAGCAAGTTCACAAGGCCCTGTTGAATCCTGACTCCCCCCAGGCCTTTCTTAGGCCGGTCGGAGCCAATTTAACCGATCGAAAAGTTGCGGCCGCCATTTTGGATGCAATTTCGGCGGCCGAATCCTTTTTGCAAAACCAACAAGATCCTTCCTGTAGGCCTTAAGGCTCCTGTTGGGACGATTTTCCAGGGCTCTGTTAGACTCTGAATCCCCTCAGGCCTTTTCAGGCCGGTCGGGGCCTATTCAGCTGATCGAAGAGTTGCGGCCGCCATTTTGACTGCTTTTTTCGACGGCCGATTCTTTGTTAAATAAAGAATTTGATCCTGCCCTCGGCTGCAATCATTAAAGCAGCGATTATCCTGGCTCCTACGTTGCCCAGGGGATCGCTAACTGGCCTCTCAAGTGATCGGAGGCCTGTTTTAGCCTCCTGTGGAGTAGCGGCCGCCATCTTGACGGCAGTCGGGGCCACTAGATAACTAGCGACTCAACAGCGGTGCTTCCTCAGCTCTATATCCGGGGTTCTGACGGAGGATTAAAATCCTTGGAGCCCTGTTTTAGCTCTCAGCAACGTTACGCCTGCCATTTGCGGGCAGGTGCCTGGCATTCGGTATTCTCATTCTCAGCCTCTTGCTGAACAGTGCTGAGGGCGTGGCAAGGTCCTGAGGAGTCAGGGCCACACACACAGGAACGATTGAGGCAGGACCATCTGGGTGGTGTTCGTCTCCCCTTCACACCGGTAGCCGCCATCATTTAAATTGTCCACACCGGACCTGAGAATTTGGAGCTGATTGTTCTGGTGCACATTGCCTGGTCATCTAAGGCCTCCGGGAGGAGCCCAACAGGTGGTTCCAAACGTGCCTTCGGCTCTGCCTCAACTACCGTGACCATAGCCCAGAGAGAATTTCATTGGTCGGGTGACCAGGGGGGTAGTCCGCGCACTTGCTCCAATACCGCTTCCGCCAACAACTTGCCTGCCAGAGCTTTTATCTCGGCTTTTGGTTCTGAGATAGCTCAAACGGGATGGAAGGACCCTCGTTGCCCCAGTCTTCAGGCGCGAATCCTCCGCCTCCCGGTCACGGCTGCAATCTTCCTTCTGTCCAGAAGGCGGCAGGCAAGTGCAAGGCCAAGACCAAGCACACAATTAAGAAGTCCTCCAAGTTGGCGGAAAAGCAAGCCAGCCGTAGGCACCAGGCCCTGGAGAAGGAGTTCTCCAGGGCACAGAGGCATGCCCAAATAAATTTGGATAGCATGGCGGCCACCGAGGTGGAGCTACCATTGGGTCCATCGGCATCTAGTCAGGGAGTATGGTCCATTCCAGGTATGCCGGTGACGTCAACTCTATCCTCCGCCTCAGCTGATCAGGCCGCCGCTTCGGGCGTCACCCCTGAGCCCGTCGGTTCTCCAACACCCACGTTACCTAGGGGTCCTGACATACAGGACATATTCTCGGACGGGCGTTTGGAGGCGCTATTGGCTAAGGTGGTGGATAGGGCTCTGACGCAGCGCTCATGCCCACACGACCTAACAGCTACTCACTTGGCCACTCTCTCAGTAGATTCCCCCATGGAGTGCCTGGCGACCCGGGGGCCTGATTCTCCGACCCAGTCCTCAGGGAGTGGTTACTCATCACCTTATGAGGAGGAAATACCCGAGATTGCCTTTTCAGGAGATGAGGAGCTCCCACCTGAGACATCTTCGGGGGGATTATTCAATCCCAACCATTTTCTAACAATCCTTCGAAAGGCCACTGCCACGGCAAACATAGGGACTGACCAGTTCCCATTACCTCAGACTGATCCCACATCCACACCCAGGCCAATTTTTCCCCAGAAAGTGGCGACGGAGCACCATGTTCCGTGCCCCTCAATTTTCCTGGAAGGAATTAAGAAGCAATGGGCTTCACCTTCCTCTTTCCCATCGGCTAACAGTTCAGACAAAAAGCTGTACAGAACATCCACGGATCTTGCCGATGCATTGGACATTCCTAAGGTGAATGAGGCTTGGACCCCTTTGGTTTCCCAGACGGCAGTGGTGGGGGATCTGTTAGAGTCACTCAAAGCCGATGATAAGAGGTGGGAGCAGACCTTCCGCAAGACTCATCAGTCGGCGGCATGGGCCATCAAAACTGCAACTTCGGCATCCTTTTTTGTCCGTACCACCCTTCTGTGGCTTCAACAACTGCAGGCCAGGGTCCCTGTTGAGGACGTGAGAACTCACCAGGACCTGGCCAAGATGGTAGCTGCCACAGAATACGCGGCGGATGCCACGTTACAATCGGCAGTGTTTTCTGCCAGAGGCATAGCTTCCAACACAATTGCCAGAAGGATGCTATGGCTGAAACACTGGCAGGCCGATACCAAAGCCAAGTGGCGCTTAGCAACCGCCCCGTACTCGGGTGGCACCCTTTTTGGGGATGCTCTCGCCCCTTATCTAG